GCATGCAGAACAATCCGGCATGCATGAAGAGCTCATGGATTCTTACTATAAGCATGCACGAGTGTATATATTGATTTAGAAACCGTATCTAATAAAAAATTATTCCCTCCTCCTTGCTAAGAAGATGAGTGACCCAAAAGAAAATGTATGTTGATGATTTAGTCAAGTGTTGATTGTGTTTGAATTTTGTACACCTCACAAAGGCACGTTTGAATTGAATTGAATCCATTCATTCATTCGTAGGCAGCTTGCCGCTTTTCTTCTCTCACGCTCTAGAGTTTTCTATTAGTTATTACCAAGGTATACATTTCTATTTTTTAAAATATTTATGACTATATTCATTCGACCCATATATTATACATACTTATTAAAAAGACATAAACAACATATATAAAAACACATTATGAAACACTTGGATGGTGCAAAATAGGGGATCCCTGAATGAATGTGAAATATTTTAGTACAAGATTTAGTGCAAAATATTCCTAAATTAATGTGAAATTAATATCTTGATGCCTGTCTATGTTTATAAGAATTTTAGTTCAGTAAAATATTTTAGAACACGATTTAGTCATTGTCAAATTGATTTTTTTTAATTTAGCACTTATATATAGTTTGTGTTATTGAATAAAATAACAAACAAGAGATAAACCTATTTGATATAAGTTGTATAAATGAAACAATTTTATGATTTTTATTTAGGGTTATGAATAACTAAAAATGTTTAGTATAAAGGAAACTTGGTGTATCATCCGCTAGATTTTAACCAAACACTGCCGCAGGCCGCAACGCCCTAAGTTAACTTATATCACATTAAGATATTGAACAAGAAAATTTGCATTTTCGTGGAGAAAACACACAGTCATAAATAACCTCAATAACCTCTAGTTTAGTTGGGTAAGGAAAGAAAGGCAGAAAGAAATGCAACCAACCAGGATTTGGTCCAATATCAAACAGACTTCTCAGCTTCACGACCCTCCCTTTTTGATTAAGGTTCCCCCCAAGCTTTGTCTAGACGAAAGCTGTCTCGTACTCTCGGCCATGTTCAACTTGTAATATAATAAGCAACTGCTGAACTAGCAAAAGGACAATAAGTTATCACCTTGTTGAGGTTCTTGACGGATGGGGATGGGTCAGCACACTGTTCCTATTGTTAAGGAGGGTCTTCCGGCCTGGTTGGTCGAGGTGGGACTCCTCGTATGCTGATAGTCTTTGGATGTCCACCGGCATCAGGTGTAATATTGAATGTGGTGTTATCAACTGTTATGCCAAATCTGGTGACAAGGCACTACTATTACACAATGAATATTGGGCCAAACTAAATGAAGGACGCAACATTGATGATACAAGAATGGTAAAGTAAGTAGAACACCAATATAACTTTTCTTTTCTTCCAAATTGGGGAAACCTAAGACCAGGCTCAAAATTATTGACCAATGTTACTTTGGCTGCCTCAGCTAAGATACCATCACAAAAGACCAAGCTCAAAATTATCGACCAGCGTTACTTTGGCTGCCTCGGCTGAGATACCATCACAAAAGACCAAGCTTTAGAAATCAGTAGCCCTTACGAAACTTCAAAGAGCGATATCTAAGAGCAGGGAGATGTACATTGATCATGATGATATATCTGTCTTCGAAACCACCATAGCAGCCACCAACGAAAAAAAAGTGCGAGCTCGGCACGGTTCCATCACTATATTTTAGTTTAATTTTTTGAACCACCAAAGTAGCTTGCCAAAGGTAAAGCCATCACCGTTGAACACACTAGCATTCCTAGGTAACCCATGTTTCACCCTCATCGCTCTCCCACAAGCCGCCGCTATCTTGGAGAGATGTCTTATTAGCAAATGAGGCCTACATATTCAAGTCAACCTTATTTCAGCGTTTTTTTTCTTTCTGAAAATTGACACGCTTGTGCATTATGCATCCATGTATATATGCATCTTTTAGAAATTTTTAAAATGTAATTTAAAAAAAATATGATTTTTCATGAATTTTGAATTTTGCAGTCTCCAGAAGCAATTTGCTCGTCACTAGTGTGTGCTGTAGAGGAGTAGAGTGGAATGGACTTGAAAATTTATTTACACCTTTGTGCATGATGCCTTGATGTATATCTGTATTTTCTTTTTAGATTTTTTTAAAATGTAAAAAAATATGAATTTCCTGGAATTTTAAATTTGGAAAAGCAATTTGGCATGTTGTTGCCACTGCTCTCTCTGCTGTAGAGAAAGTAGAGTGGAATGGACAACACTGTCACTGTGCTGTCACACTCACACTCACCCGTTGCTGCTTATCTACATGGAGATGGAGTAGAGTTATTGCATTGGAATGCATCGGACGGACGGACCGGACCATGTGCAAGTCCAGCTCACACGCTCTCCCCTCCACCACCACCACCGTTCCTTCTTCCTCTCGCCGCCGCCGCCGATCCCCTTCCACCACCACCGCCACCGCCACCGCCACCGCCTCCTCCTCTGCGGCCACGGCCTCCACCTCCTCCGGACCCCGCCACACCACCCATACCTC